TCAGAGATTACAGAAAATTGCTTAAGAATGTTTTTAAGAGAATGTAGGTTAGAATCAGTATCTTTTCCAAACATCATAAGATTATCTTGCATATAGAAGATGTGACACATGTAGATTACCATATTTCATACCAGAAAATTTATTTTTTAATATAGCAGACTCCATAAGGAAAGATGGGACAATGCAAAAAAGATATGGCGATGGAGAACATCCTTATCTTAGCCCAATACTAGAATTGAAAAATCCTTTGGCTCTATATAGAGAAGTAAACATTATGAAGAAAAGCTTTTATTCAAAAGATGAAAACATCAAGAAAGCCTTTTTGTTGAAGCCTTTAAAGAATATAATTTTTAGAGATAGAATCCAAAGCCTTATAAATATCAATTTTTGCAACAAAAATTTCAAGCTGGCCTTCCATCTGAAATCAAAAATAATTTCTCTAATTAAAAGCACATTATCCATAGAAATTCTGCTAGTAATGAATCTAGAATGAGCAGGGTGCACAATTAGATGCATAATATGTTTGATTATGGATGCAATAATTTTGTAAAAAAATATTACATTACGAGATAGGTCTATAATCATTAATGCCATTAGAGTGTTGTCTTTTAGGAATAAGAATAATATTAGTAACCTTCACCTTTTTAGGAAGATAACCTTCAATAAAAAAAATGATTCAAAGCTTCGCAAACCAAAGAACCAATGATGTCCCAACATAGAAAGAAAAATTATACCCATTCGTCCCTGGAGATGAGTAGTTGTTAGATTCAAACACAATATCACAAATCTCATTGTCAGTAAAAGGAGCCAACAACAGAGAAGTAAGATGAGGAGGAATGACTTTTCCAGCTAGAAAGGAAAATAAAGAAGCAATCTAGCAAGTAGGATTAAATAATATTTTTAAGTGATCAATAGCCTTTTAAGCAATTTACTCATGAGAAGAGTAAATATGATTATCAGTGGAAAGCTGTCTTATTAAATTCCGATTTTTTCTTCTATTTATATTCCTATATAGGAAGCCAATATCATCTTCTCCTTTAGTAAGCTATTTTGTTTTCCCCTTGGACAATCCAAGAAGACTAGGCTGTAATGGTTGATGAGAGACTTTTATTAATGACAATACTCCTCTCGATAAGTAAAGTATTAAGAGGATCCTTACAAATTTGATTAAACATAAACTCTTGTTCAAGCTGTAAGCCCGACATTTTCTATTGAAGATAAGTAAAAGAATTCCAATTTGTAACCTTCAAAAAGTTTCTAAGAAATAAAAGCTTTTTATATAAAGAGGTAATGCGATCAATATTTAACATAGGAGTAGCAAAAATATCTATAAGGTGTTTTCTAAAATATGGAAGATTGCACTGTAAATTTTTGTATGAAAACCTATGTTTATATTTATCTAAGTGCTGGGGGTGATAAATAAGGGAGAATGGTTTGATCCTCTAGCAGAAGGCGCTTTATAATATGAGGATGGATAAATATCAAGCCATATGCTACTAGAAAGCACCCTATCAAGCATAATGTGAATAGGCTGGTCTTATTTATTGTTTAACCAAGAAAAAGGCAAACCTACTGATGCAAGGTCAATAAGAGTAGTATCAAATATCATAGTTTTTAAAATCATGAACAACAACGGAGGAGACAAAAAGATCACCCTCTTTTTCTTTATTGTTCCTACATCGGTTAAAGTCTCCTAACACCAACCAAGGTTGATTAATATCATTAATAATATTAGCCAAATTTCTGATATTATCCTATAATAGTATTCTTTCATCTATAGAATTAGAAACATATGCTACAGGAATAAATAAATGTTGAGACAAATGAGAATAAATGATCCCATGCATCATTTGACTATCTGAATAAATATGCGAGAAGGTGATACAAGATGAATCCCATTTGAGCCAAATTCTCCCAGGATTAGAGAACTGAAAGTTGTTATAGCTACCTTCCATATTAAAAAGCTTGTGAGAAAGAAAAAAATTCAAATTCATATTAGTCTTTCTACCAATGTTAGCTTCTAAAATACCAATGAATTTTAACTTGAATTCTTGGATAAGATTCCTACAACATAGAAATTTATCCAAACCATTGAAGACCTTAATATTCCAAGAGGCAATATTCAAACTTGACATTTTTTTTGGTTTTGGATGGCTAGATGCTTAACCTTTGTGTTTGTAATGTTTTTAACTTGCTTAATTTTGTTTTTAGGAGCATTGGATAACAAATTCGAATGAGAAGATAAGATAATGTGTATAGTCATTTCCATCCCATGAGGAAGCATCCCAAATTTGTTAGGAGAAATGATGTTGTTATCCATGTTATATTTACAAAGTTGAAAGCCTAAAATCAATAGAGCCGAGATTAAGGTTTGGTAGTGAAGGGAGGTTTGAATTTTTTGAATATATAGTGTCAGTAATAGTCATATGACCTTGAGTAGTTTTCTTTAAAGGAGTTGTAGTACTAGCCTTTTCAATTCTTTAATTTTTTGCAATAGGCTCCCTAACAGGATAGATAGAATATTGCATCATGTTAGTATTAGGCTTTTTTACTTCTACTTCTCCCCCTAGAAGTAGCAGATTCAATAGCTTTTTATTGCGGGTTTGAAGTCCATTGGTTATTAGTTTGTGCTAGAAATCCGCATCCAGAACAAAGAGTTGGTTTCCAATCATACTGAACACTTAGGTTTTGTGTTTTCCAAGCCAATAAAATAGTAATAGAATCTAGAAGAGTTGTGTCTTTTTCAACTTGCATACAAACCTTAGCGAAGGTGCGTCGCATTCTAGCCACAGTTAGAGAGTCAATAGCTGGTGGAGGGGAAATAATGCTTGCAATCTTAGAAATACAAGAGGGAATCTAACATATAAGAGGAATATCGATCATGAATCTTGATCTAAGAGGGATTGAAGTAAACTCTTCTCGAATAGTTCTAAATAATGGTGTCCATTTTTTAAATACAAATGATTTTTCAAAAAAGATCCAGGGGCTACCGGCCCAAACCATCTCATAGTCTTCAAAATTTGAGAATTTAAAGAAGAAAGACCCTCATTAAGAATAATTAAAGATAGATTATCTTTTAATTGCCAAACTTTTTTAACCTGAGCATGGAGAGCTTCATAATACGGTCGCTAACTAATGACATAGCCCACCAAGCATAGATCCCAATATTTTGTTCCATTAGAAACCTCTTGATCTGAAAAATGAATGACTGAATCTAATGGAGGGATGTAATTAACAGGAAAAGGAGATGATGTAGGGTTTTTTTTAAAGCAATCAGAGCTTTCTAGTTTATAGAGTTTTTATTGGGGTCGGGGTTTGGTAGATTAATGGATGAGAAGAAATTTTGAAAAGTAGGGATAGGTTTAGATGGAAGATTTGGGAAATCTTGAGTGAAAAAGGAACTAGGATGTTTCATCCTGAATGAAAGAGAAAAAACTATAAGTAAACACAAAAGAAAACTTCCTTCGGTGGAGCCGAAAGGTGGAGAATGGTGAGAGAGAGCAAAATGAAAAGATGACAGCTAAGAAACCAAAATCCTAGTAGACAAAAAATCGAAACGTCCCATGCTATTGAACCTAAAATATTCAAATAAATGTTGAAGATTTAATTTTAAGTTTTGAATGTAAGATCAGAACAACATCACAACACCCAAATTATTTTTGCCAAAAGGCAGAGAGCTCAAAGTCGTGTTGACGCCAAACCAAACGCCATGGGTCCCCAAGGGAAAATGTTCAGATTATCCAAACATGCACACGGGCCACCAGACCCACTTTAGACCATATTCAAACACACATACAAATGCATAATACTTATTCAACAATCTATCAATTAGTATATAACATCATAAGTCATAAATTATACATCATTATAACTATGTGATGAAGAATGATGGGTCCTATGAAGAGATGAATTATAATAAATAAATAAAAGAGCAACCAACTTGGGCTTCATTTTGAACTATTTTTTATTATTATTTCTTTAAATTTTTTGTGCTAGAAAGCTATTGTAAAAAGTAGCAAGAAACTGTCATAAACTAAGGTTTTGTTTGAGATAATTTCTTCCTGCTTTCTAAAGCAGCTTTTCAATGCAAAAAATTCTAGTTCAAAAAAATTTGTATTGGAAAATCGCTTTAGAAAATTGTAATCAAGCTGTCTCAAACAAAGCTTATTGTGCATTGGTCTGATTTTAGATTAGGTTGTTCTTGCAAGACACTACACCATGTATTAAAAAGCAAGTTAAAGAACCTAACCACTCATAATTTAATAAATTTTTTGAAGGAAAATGCCTCACTTATTGGTCTAGTTCTTAGAAACAGGGGGGAGAAAAAGACTGCCGGATGAGAAGGCAAGATGATACAAAATAATTTTTCTTACTAAAATCCTAATGATGAAATTGGGATTAATGAGCTCCTTTTAAAAATTTGTTAAAAAATATTTAAATTTAAACAATTTTTTAGATTTAAACACTTTAAAATGCGTTAATTTGAATTTATCAAATTTAATAAATTTAATTTTATTGTTAACATTTCTTGAGAATAATAAATAATAAAACATAAAAAAATATATTTCTTGAATTACTGATATAGGAAAATAAATAATTGCCACAAATTCTTTCAAAACATTAGCCTCTATTTTTATTTTTTTAAATGTTGAGATACATGAGATTAGGGTTGTCAAGATGGTTCAATGAGTCAGATTTGAGTCCAACCCAAATTGATCCTATCGAATCCAATTAATCCGAACACAACTCGTTTAATAAATATGTTAAAAAGATAGACCTGAATTCAACCCGCTAGTAACCTGAACTCGACCTGATAACCATTTCAATTAAAAAAATATTTTTATTAACATGTTCATAAAAATTTTAGATTAATTGATAAAAAAAAATACCAATAAACAAAATTTAAAGAAAAATATTAAATGTATTATTTTATATCTAAATTGAGTTACCTAAATGGCTAAATCTGACCGATTTATTCCAAGGACCGGAAACGGTTCAACCGGATTTTTCGGAGTCGGGTTCGGATCGGCGGGTCGGCTCCACGATTTTTCAAGGCAACTGGTAACTCCCACAGAGTACAAGCAGCGATCTCGGCGACAGGGGGCGACGGAGCTTCCGACTGCGAGAGACTGCAAGCCAGAAGCGCATCTGAAGCGGTGGAAATGGATACTGAGCTTAGATCGCTGCTGCAGGACATCGAGGCTCTTAAAGGATCGTTGCCGGATGTCAGTCATCGTGATTCTATGGCGAAGGTGATTTAAGCCGACACAGATTTTGCCCGCCCTTGTTTTTTTTTTTTTTTGAGCTAGTCGGCTAGAATTCGAAGTAAAATGTTGTATGCAAACACGTTGATGAGCTTGATCCCTTTGTTGCCTCAACTGGGCACTCTTACCGCAGCATAGGCTGAGAAAAGATGCGGGTTTTAGTGTCTTTAGGGTATTCGAATTGAATTGACCGGTAATTCGAGGGTTGAATCATGCTCTAGGATTGATTGGAGGTTATATTGTATGAGAAGTTTGCCTGCTTGATTTTTCTTTTCATCGTATTAGTTTTAAACTTTTTTTGACAACCTATTTCTTTTGAATTCCCGCTCGCTTATTTTCTCTTTTTGGATAATTTATTCCATGCATGATCTACGTTATATCTGCATTTTCAATGAACTGATCTATCATGCTTGCATGGCCACACAGATAGAAGAGCGCGTTGTCAAAATCATGAGTATCACAAAAGCTGGGACCTCCCGCCGTTCCAAAGTCAAGGTCTTTATGTTACATTGACTAATTTATACTGTCATATTTTATTGGAAATAATTTTTCATTACATTGACTAAAATTATGGACTGGGTATAGGAGATGAGTGCTGAGGTAGTGGACAGCAACCCGTACAGTAGGCTGATGGCGCTTCAGCGAATGGGCATTGTGGAAAACTATGAAAGAATTCGAGATTTCTCAGTTGCTATTGTTGTGAGTATTTGGAAATGCAGCAGGCGAATAAAATTTGGAAATGATTTTTTATTGAAATGGCAATATCTTATTTTCAAAATATTATCTTTTTTTTTCCCCTCTGTTCATATATGTAATTATAGTCGCTTGTAGGAAACTATGTTCTTTGGAGTTAATGCAACAGCTATTGTGGTTTTTACATTTCACCATACCATGCAGCAACATATGACCTTTTTGTGCTTGCTAGAGTTGCATGAAATGCCTAGCATTACATTGGAATTATATAATGTTATACTGATTCTATTCTGCAATATTCTGCCCTGATTCCAAATCCTTTAAAGGATCTATCATATGGAAACTTCATGCTTTTAGAAATGTCTTCTGACTATTGCTACGTTTTGCAAGCTATTATTAGGTAGAGCCGTCGGTCTTTTTTTCATGTTTTATAACTTAGTTCTTGATTCTCTTGCTGGGTTAAATGATCTAATTCAATATTCAAAAAGTCTTTCTTTTTTGTACAATTGTTAGCCTTGCACTTATGATTCTCTAGCTATGATAAATTATCGAATTGAATATTTAAGAACTCTTTCTTTTTGCTGTATAATTGATAGCCTTTCATTCTTGACTATTTATTTCATTTTTGTGTAATGCATTAGGTTTCTTGCTAAATATATGCTTGTTTGAGTTATCAGTTTCTCATATGATTGCATAACTTTGATTTGCCACTGTTACAGGGAATTGGTGGTGTTGGCAGCGTGTCGGCCGAGATGCTCACTAGGTGCGGCATTGGGCGCCTATTGTTATATGACTATGATACAGTAGAGTTGGCCAACATGAATAGACTATTTTTTCGTCCGGAACAGGCATAAATTTTATTTACTAGATTGTCTTTTGTTTCCTTTGGTTTTAGATTCTTATATGTACAATATGTTATATTTAACTCTTTTTTCATTTATTTTTAAGCTAAAAATATTTTTAGCTCTTCTGGTTGAATTGTTTAATTTTGTTAAAGCCCTTCTGATGCAGGTTAACTCAATTAGTTTCTTCCTGCTGCAGGTTGGCATGACCAAAACAGATGCTGCTGTCCAGACCCTTTCAGAAATTAACCCTGATGTTGTGCTCGAAGTAAGCATCATTACATGAATTGGGTAAATTATTTTGTATCTTGTGGGAATGGATGATTTATTTTTATATGTAATGATAAGGCGCTTCTCAGAGCAAGGGAGAAAACTGGGATACGATGATTAACTTAACCTTGCACTGAAATAGAAGATAACTTCAGTCATCCTAGTTTGGACCTATAAACCATAACCTGGCGTTTCTATGCTCTGCTGAACCATGCGTGCAAAAGAAAAATAAAAATTAGGAAAAAAGAAGAACCAAAGCTTGTTCCACATTTTTATGCATTTGCATAACATAGAAATGAATATGTATGGTAAAGTTATTATTTTTCTTGGGTACCACCTGACTGGTGTCTTTGTAACTTTGATGATTGAACTGAAGATCTGGAAGCAATGCTGCAACATATAACGTGTTTGGGGAAACCGTTACAGGAAATTACTTAAAGATGTATTTAAATATCTGATAGATAAATTATATAGCTGCTAATCTTTATGAACATCGATTTCTTATTTCAAAAAAATTATTTGCATCTATTGGTTTATATTAAAGTAGCTAAGCTGTTGGTTCCAACTAAAGTAGATACAAAGTAATCCAAACTCTTTCAATAAATGCGTTCAAATTTTATATTTACTCGCCACAATTTTCTGAAGGAAATATCCTAAAAACTTGCTTGATGTTAAGGGAATGTAACTGATTTGCAGCAACCAAACACCGAAAAGTAACTTTTGCTGTTTTTTGTTTTTTAAACCTATGTAGTAGGAAGCCAAACAGCTCCTTATATTTGTCCCCTTGTTATTGTATTGACAAGTACTCATGGACCAAACCTTCCAGTTTTCTAAACTTTAATAAAGTTAGGTCCCTCCTTGCTTGTGTTATGAACTCCATCATCTGCTCTGTTTGTCTAATACAAATATATGTAATTATTTTGTAGTTAACTTTATGTGATATTTGTGCTCTTTTAAAATGCCATTATTATCCTTTGTTGATGGAGGAACTTGTTCTTTATGTTTCAGTCTTTTACTTAACTTTTTCAGAGCTACTCATTAAACATCACAACTGTAAAAGGTTTCGAGGTTTTCATGGAGAGCCTGAGAAGGCAAAACCCAAAGAATAGTGTACGAGATGATGCAAGAAGTGCGGGAATTGATCTCGTGCTGAGCTGTGTGGACAATTATGAGGCTCGCATGGTTGTTAACCAGGTGCTATGAACATCCAATGAGTTTACTTTTGTATAGGCTTAGGTTCATTAGTTTTTCCAAATTGAAAACTGGTAGCATAATTTCATTTATGAACGCGTTTTTTTAATTTATGTCACTACATGCTGTGTAGGCTTGTCTTGACATATTATACTGATTAATTTTTTTTCCTGATATTGTTGTGACTGCTCAGGCATGCAATGAACTAAACCAGACGTGGATTGAATCGGGTGAGTTGACATACACCTGTTTCATTTCCTGGATTCCCCAATCTCATAATTTCTTTCTCTGTATGTGAAGTTTTTCTCATGCTTAGCCCTGACAACCATGACTTTCATTTATTGTGAGACATACCCTTGTACATAGTTCCTTGCTTGTCAATAATTTAGAATACTGAATTCTTTGGTTGGATTAGCTGCCAGTTTGGTCTGAAGAAGAATGCTTTGGAACTACATGCTGTTGGTTTTGTGACTATGCTGTTTTTCATGTTTAGTTTGGGTGCCGTGATTGAGCTTGAATGACTCCTATAAGAATTAGAAGGTTTCATGAAAGAAATGGTGTTCTACAACTTCACATGCCTATGCAGTTGTTTCCCTTGTTTAATTAATTTTAATGCAGAATACTGATAACCTTTGGCTTGAATATGCGTTTGAATTGCATAAAAAATTGTATTTTGATGTAAAATTGTGCAGGAGATTACTAGTTGAAGTATTTTGCCTTGAGATTTGTATTATAAGATTTTGACTTATCAACTTGCCTCTCTTTTTTTTATGTGTGAAGTGGAACCTTATTAGTACTGATTTTGTCAAAAGTAGAAGAATAAGATGGATTTATGTGAAATCTATCAAAACAAGCTTTAAAAAATGAGTGTGGAAGGTATTGGAGTAGTCTCCATATAACGAAACTAGGATTCTTCCCCATGCAATGCACAGGGTGAGAAATTGGTAAAAATATTAAGAAATGGTATTTGTGGATCTAATTTTATTTTTCTATTAGCATGCTTTTATTTTTTATTTCTTGTTTGTATTGGTAAGTGTGGTATAAAAATATAATGTTTTTTTTACTTATATAACTTGATATTTGTTAAAAAACAATATATATATATTGCCATTGCATGGATTGCATATAAAATACAATCACCGCAAAACATTGGTCGGAAATAAACTTCCTCCTAATTTGTGAAGAATAATGTGGGTTATTTTGCTAAATTATTGAGTAAAAATTTTCAACTAAAATATGTATTTTGATGCTACCTTTTGTATGAGAAAAAGTCCAAAATAGTCTATTGACTACTCAAATGTAGCCAATTTTGTTGAAGAGTATTGCATGTATCCAATTAAGTCCCTTGACTATACAAATTGATCCCAAATGGTCCCTCAGGGAAAATTATAATATATTTTATATAGTCAAGAGATTAAATTGGATTATGAAGAGAAATGAGTGCTTATTCTATTTATATAAGGCATAACACTAACGATAATGAGGTCCCATAGGGACGGGCAAAAACTCAAATTCTCCACTCATTATTAGACCCAAAAGTCATAACTGCCTTATCTTTTGATGATTACCTTTTCATTTAGGACATCAATTGCCTTAGGTTAATTTATAAGGTTATAAAATTATTGTTTTGTGCTATATGCTTAAAAGTCATAGCTATCCTTTTCCTTCTTCCTCTTTTGTCAAAAAAAAAAAAAAAAAAAAAAAGTTGTGATCTTGGTGGTATTTGGTGTTTGCCATTGCATGGATTGCATATAAAATACAATCACCACAAAACATGGGTCGGAAATAAACTTCCTCTAGCACAATTCATCTAAATTTGTGAAGAATAATGTGGGTTATTTTACTAAATTATTGAGTAAAAATTTTCAACTAAAATATGTATTTTGATGCTACCTTTTGTATGAGAAAAAGTCCAAAATAGTCTTATTGACTACTCAAATGTAGCCAATTTTGTTGAAGAGTATTGCATTTATCCAATTAAGTCCCTTGACTATACAAATTGATCCCAAATGGTCCCTCAGGAAAAATTATAATATATTTTATATAGTCAAGAGATTAAATTGGGATCAATTTTGTATCTCCATTTTCGTTAATTTCTATGTGAGGGGCCATTCATGAACAATTTTTTATAGCTGAGGGACTAAATTGAAAGAATGCAATACTTTGGGACTAAATTAACAACATACGAATAATCGGGGGACTTTTTCAGGCTTTTCTCTATATTGTTCTCTATATTGTATTAATGAAGCATGTGCACTATTTTATGATATATTCATACTAGAAATTAATAATGAATATTTTATTTATATTGTTTGGGTAGTATAGCCAATTTATCTTTTCATGAGTGAGTTCAAATTTGTTCTAGTCGTCGATCAAGATGTATACAAATATATCAAATTTATCATATTTTTCTCAATTAATCTGGTTCATGAAGCATCTCAAGCAAAGTTCTTCATTATCATTAGCCTTTGCAACTACTCTTTAGGATCGTTGTTATGAATCCTCATTTTTTAGTGTAGAGTGTTACCGAAGGTATTAAACCTGTTATTCACGATTCATTTTTAAGAACTTTTATCTATAAACTCTTTAGTCTACCACTTTTTCTTCTTAATCCTATTCTATTTTATCATGTCATTTAACCAACTCATTTTCTACTATTTGTTATATATGTCAAAGTCATCAAATTCTATTTTCAGTCACCTAATTTCAATAGTTGTTACTCAAATCTTTCTTTTAATAGAATTGTTCTTTTATTTATCCTCCATAGTTTTGCGGAACATCCATATTAAAATCCTTATTTATGACACAATCAACTTAAATATCAATGACTTCTTATAGCCCTTTCTTTGAGCTCATACAATATGACTGGCCTAATTGTGATTGTATAAAATGTACCTTTAAGCCTTTATGATGATATCTTGTCACACACAATTTATATATATCTCAATTCTTTTGTATGATAGATCCAATATATACTCGGGCCTATCAACCTTCAGTATCACCTAATCCTCTGATAATATTCAATGATAATTTCTAACATCGTACCAATTAAAATTATATATCATATACTTAGTCGTAATTCTATTATTTTTAAGGCCTCTATCTTCTAATAATTTCCTCTACCATTCTTTACTAATATCAGCAGTTAAAGTAAATTCAGTTGTACGAGGGTTATGTCTTAATTGGTATATTTTTTGGTTTCCAATTTATAGTTCTTAAGTACAAAGGTCAGCGGATATAGCTTTGATAAATTTATCCTACTTGTAATTGGAATTATGCTATATGTACCAAGTCTTGAGCCCCCTTAATGGAAAAAAAAAGCAATTTATATGTACCAAACTGTGAAATGATGGTCATATTTTTTGAAGGCAGCTCAAGCAGAGCAAAAAAGCTTTTTGTACTTTATATTATCTTTCTGTTAGCCATTTAAACCAGATATTCTTCTATGAGCCGAATTGTCACATTTTTATTTTTGTGCATTATAAATTTTTAATAGTGGACAGATATTTAGTTTTTGAATAGGAATTCAACTTTTGGCGCATTGATTTTTTCCCTACCATTTAGTTTACAGAGAATGGTGTTTTTTTTTTAGAGTTTGTTTCACTTGAATGTTGCTATTTGAGCCTCTATAGATTATAAAACACTTATTTTCTGTATGGAGAACGCATTACTGTTTCTCAAGATACATATATACTTCTTTTTGATCGTCAAAATAAATTTTATGCCAGGCGTATCTGAAGATGCTGTTTCTGGTCATATACAATTGCTTATCCCAGGTGAAACAGCTTGCTTTGCATGTGCCCCACCATTGGTACGTACATATTTTTAGTCTTAACTTAGTAAAGTATATGATGTTATGATCAGGACTTCAGAAGTGACAATGTCGTTGTGTGTGTAAGCTCCCTTGTACCAACAAAATCATTTTAATTAACTAATTTATATACTCTTAAAAACTTCCATGTTATTCGCATATGAATGTTCAATGTATTACATGCTCATAAACCTCTTAAGGCATGAACCTCTCACGGCATGACAGTTCATGGCAAGGTAATGGCAGATTGTTAGCATTCTTTTTAATTTTCTTTTATTGGGTTGGTGATGATCACATGGATCATAAGATTCATTGTTAGTTCCATCCTTTTGATTGTTTTCTAAATGGGTTTGTGTACTCCTACATGTCCATGCAGTGTTGATCTCTAATATTTATTCTGTGACTAGCTCAAATGCTTCCAATGAGAAGAACAATGATCAACGGAGGCAACACTACATGAAATTGGTTTGATATGTCCCAGCACTACATGAAATCACATGAACATCATTCATTCTTGAGATGGACAATGCCTTCAAAGCTGGAATGTTAAAACTATTGTGAAAGGACCGTCGTGTTCGATTAAAATGATGGATTACGAGCATGACGTTGTGCGAAATCAATTGAATGTTCTGCGTTCATGAAATAGACTACTCCATCGCGTCTAGTACACCAACATTATTAGGAAAGGCTGCCCATGTTGTTTGGATTTCAACACGAGAAAGGACAAAAAAAGTCCACCCGCACACATGTTATGAGTACTAATTTGAAGTGCGTGAGCGATGAAATTCACTGAGAAAATTGATGTGTTTAAAACGAATATTTTTTTGTTTATTCTATAAAATTTAAAATTTTAATTCAAAATTAATATTTAAATATTTAAATTATTAAAAAAATTAATTAAAATTGGAATTTTAGGGTAAAAAGGATAGTGCTGTTCTAATTAAACAACATACTTAAAAGAGAAAAAAAAGATAAAAATTCAAACTAAACCTAACCTAAACTTGTACTGCCCTCATATATTCACTCTTAGCCACCCCTCCTCCTCACGACCTCTCTGTTAACACGCGAGCCTTGAGCCTCTCCATAATCTCCCTCTCTCGATCTCTGAGACTTGCATAATCCTCTCCCATCTCCCACCTCGACCGAGCAAGCTACCACCAATTGCATGTTGTCGTTGTCAACCCTGTCATTGCTATAAAGTCACCCAGCCTGCTAGACAACCCTCCTGTGTGTTGCTTTCTAGTTGCTAGATAGCTTCTTAGCCGCCATCTCTTGCCTAGGCCACCAGTTGCCTATTGCCTCACCCCTCTCCTTCTTGTGCACAAATGCCTAGTTGATCACCCCATCTAGGCTGCCGACCTATTCCCCTAGCTCATTGCTGCCTATGCTTTAGGATGACCAAGTCGCCACTGACCAACCCTCCAATCATTGGCCAACCTCCATCATTCTCTTTTTCTCTCTAGCTCAACCTCCTTTCTCTTACCCCAACTCTCTGTCTCTCTAAACAGAGAAGGAAACCTTTTAAAAAAAGATATTTCTTCCAATTTCTCTCTAAACAGAGAGTGAAATTCCTCTTTCTCTATCTAATCCTCTCAAGCCCCATTTCTCTCTATTAGAAGAGAGTGGTCTCATCCATGCCTTCATGCATGCAGATATAAAATGCAACAACTAAAAAATCTTTACAATCACACTGGCGATGCATTTGGTGTGGCTAGTGGAACTACTTACATGCTTTTCTTAGTATGACGGAAGAAAACTTGATAACAATGTTCATGATGCGATTGGTAAACCCCAAAATTTTATTGGTGATGTGTTTGATGTGACGAGCGAAACCCGTGCACGATTTTCTTAGCATGGCATGGGTAGACCATGTTTATGATGCCATGGGTGAATTCCATTTGCGGTGCATTTGGCGTGATGAGTGAAACCATGTGTACACTTTTCTTAGTGTGGTAGGAGAAAACTTGTCAACAACGTTTGCAATGTGATTAGGAAATTTACATGTAAAAAATTCTTGTGCAGGTACTCCATGTACGTATTTATTGACAAGTGGGGTTTTTGAAAATTCTAACTGTAGTGTCGTAGGACATCGACCATAAATGTCTTTTTTGGCATGGTGGGAAGACCCAACCTACCCGTGGATTTCTCCTAAGAGGGGGAGATGTCGGCAGTTGTTGGGATTTGGACTAAAAATATGACTCTAAAAATTCATACAAAGGGCTTAAAATAAGCAAAATATATCCAGAAATTAAACATTAAAAATGCAATACAAGTAACCTAAAAGAGTAAAATGTTGAATAGTGATAAAGAATATAGGATTTATAGGAGACTGTAAAGCTTGCAAGTTCATTATGAATGCAAACACAGCTCCATTACACTCAAAACTTCAAGAACTCAGAGCAATGGACTCAAGTGAACTCCATGGATGGGAGAAATGAACTATCTCCCCCTTCATATTAATAGGGGATAAGTGAACCCCTGTAAGACTCATGTCATAAACATAATTATTTTAAAATTATAAAAAAGTCGTGAAAAATGTGCAGTTCCAACCTGTACTAAAATTGCTTCTTTAACATCAAATCTGCAATATTTTGCAGATGCATCAGACGCACATAATATCATATATCTAGGTCATACAAGTGCACTGAAAATTGCGCAAGTATATGACATAGGTGTACTGAAATTTATGTAAGAAAATAATCTCTTTTAAAATGGAAAGTTTGCATGTGCTCCGATGAATGTGACAAAAATATAAGTATAACGTCTAAGAATGTTGCGTAGATTTGATAAGAAATATACTATATATTTATTTTTTTAAGAAGCATGTGAATATGTTGAAATTTTACTGCCAATTTCAAACTTTAGGTCTCTCTGGAAATGAAAAGTTCACATGAACAAACACTTAAGTTTTTAAGTTTGTGGTTTTATAATGCTGCATGGGTTAAAATAAAGAAATGAATTTACACTAAATTCATCATAAAATTGTGCAAGTATGACATTTATTGACATCAGAAAATTTGTAGCTGCATCATACAAATACATTGAAAGGTGTGCAAATGCACTAGGTAATTATACTAATAAATATGTACGTCATCTAAGTCATGTTCAAGTCCTTAAAAGATAACAAAATATCCACGTGTGCTTTGATCAATACATCAAACTTCTACTTTCGGTGTTCAAGAATGCTACGTGGTCTAAAAAGAAAAGTGAATTTAATTTTAAGTCCGATCATTCCCCTTGACTGCAGTTGGTAAGACTTGAATCTAATAAAAAAATTTAAATATAATTTGAATTTTACAATTTCACTTAATAATTGCTACTACAAGTCAAAATTACTGTAACATAGTCTCTTATAACATTTTAAAACACATAAATATAAAATTAGAATGCTACTTAATTGCTTTGCTCCTTGTCCTTTGTCTTGACATCTTTGCTTCTTTCTTGCTCTAGGTTCTGGTGGATAGTCTATTTCTTTTTGGATGGCATCTTGTGACACATTGATCATGATAGATCTATTGTCGATAGAAGATCAACCTCTTGATATTGCACTTTTCTTGGTGGGAACATTATAATGTGGAGAAGTGTGCCTCAAAATTTGATGTCAAGTTCAAGTATTGAAGTTGAGTTTTGAGTAATGGCCTAGGATATTTATGAACTAGTGGGTTGAAAATCATTCTAGAGTATTTGAAGGTTAAATGGGCTGGCCTGATAATACTTTATCGTGGCAGTAGTCTACAACCAACATAACTCTTAAGTCATAATCCAGTGCATCATAATCGAACAAACCATAAAGAGGTGAACCAACAATCATTGAAGAAAAGCTAGACAGTTGCTTGATTTGCTTACCCTATACATCTATTGATAAACAATTTGCATATGTGCTTAATAAGGGATTAAACAGTGGAGTGTTTCAAGCAATTATATTCAAATTGTAAATGAACAACATTTATTCACTTGTTTGAGGGGGAGTGTTGGAACCCACAGAGTTATTTTAAGAAATGAAATAAGAATTCCATGAATTCATGATAAATAAGAAAACTAGGATCCCACGAACTTATGCTAAGGAAATCATGACTGGTTGCTGGAAAAGGAAATTTGATTGTATATTTTTGAGTACGAAGGTTATTATTTGTCTTTGTATATTGGCGGATATTTTTCCTATGTAGTGTAAGCTAGTTTTCTATTTTCTTCTTTGATCAATCAATACATGATCTTGTATCAAATAATTTTATATTCTGCTTAAATATGAACTTATTAGAGGCTGAATTTTATTTGGTTTCTGAGGATACTCCCTTTTATGTTAAATCATTTTTAAAATTTTTTTGGACATATGCTAGTTGTTTTTGAGTTTTCTGTGTGATTGCACCTCTAAATAAACTGTTGTGACTGGATATATCATGAGCAGAAGCCACAAATTTTTATGTATGGGAACCGCTGGTTGCATCTTACAATTTCATGCTACATGTTGAAGATACATAACTAGAATATGTAGTTTGTAAACTATTTTTTAGTTTTATAAATATAAGTTAGTGATCAGGTTTATATGAGATATACCTTTTGAAAAATGTTTATAGCGTGCACTTTGCTGGTTAGGCTATTTTTCTTAGTCTTCTTTGTTAGATTCCTTGTAAATCTAGGGTGTCAGTGCAAGTTCTCCTTTATGAAAATCAAATCAGAAACTTTTGAAGATTATTTGTTGCTTTTAAAAATGTTATTCAGCACAGTTTGATAGGTATATCATCTGGACAACTTGGCAATTTGCTAATCAATCAATTCTTTATATTTAATTTTCTGATAAATTTTGTTCTTGTGCATCTTAGGTTGTTGCATCTGGAGTGGATGAACGCACGCTGAAGAGAGAAGGGGTCTGTGCTGCATCATTACCAACTACCATGGTGAAAAATTGTCTTGTTCTGTGTATTTTTTGCATCGTTTTCAAGAAATTTTCAAGTTATTGCATTGCTCTAGATTTGCTTCATATTAACCATCTATATCGAGGTCAAATTTTCTTGGTTGTTGGGAGGGCTGGGTTAGCTTGTGAGTCTGATCCCCTAAAGGTCATTGCAAGGTGGCCTAATGAATATGGTCTTAAATGGGCTAACCCTTATGGGCTTGGAGCTAGCCCATAGGTCAATTATTCTTAAGCTCAATAAGGTCATTTTCGACCATTGAGCAACTCACAATTAAATTCAAATAATGCTAAAATATTATTTGAACCTATAAGCTCTTACAAATATAACTACATTTTTATCATTGGATCATTTATCTCTGTTGCTTATGTTTTGCAGAACCTCTGGAATCCAATGCGTCATTTTGTTGAGGGAAAAAGCTTATGCAAGCATATGGTTATAGATATTTTTTTTGGAAATTACAGTTACTTTATACGTAATAAATAATTAGGATATTGTTAGACCGGTCCACTGGACCGGTCCAGCCGGTCCAGGCGGGACCGGCTGGTGGCCTAATGAGTGTGGTCTTAAATGGGCTAACCCTTATGGGCTTGGAGCTAGCCCATAGGTCAATTATTCTTAAGCTCAATAAGGTCATTTTCGACCGATGAGCTACTCACAATTAAAATTCAAATAATGCTACAATATTATTTGAACCCATAAGCTCTTACAAATATAACTACATTTCTTATCATTGGATCATTTATCTCTCTTGCTTATGTTTTGCGGAACCTCTGGAATCCAATGCGTCATTTTGTTGAGGGAAAAAGCTTATGCAAGCATATGGTTATAGATATTTTTTGGAAATTACAGTTACTTTATACGTAATAAATAATTAGGATATGTAATGTTTTCTAGCGAAGGAAAAAAGTTAAAATTTGGCATGATTAGTAAATACTAATTTATATTTATTTTTGTGAAATAATGATTGAAATATTTATACTCAAATACATATCTGTGTGTGTCTGTTTTGAGAGAGAGAGAGAGAGAGAGAGAGAGAGAGAGAGAGAGAGAGAGAGAGAAGGGGGTAGGGGGAATATTGGGCGAGCCAATGATGAAGTTGAAAGGGTATAAAGGAATGTAGCATGGGTTTAAGCCACAAGGGTTATACTCTGCAAGTTTCTTTTTAAAAAAAATATCTTAACTAGAGGACTTCAGTGCCAAATCGCCTCTTTTTTGGGGGATCTAGACATACCTAGAGGGTTATAAGTTTTTGCATTGCACAAACGAATGTCAATAAGGGAATGATTCTACTATTTTCCCATCCCATTAAAATCTTGGGGATTTTTTGTTTGAACCTCGTAGACTTCCAAACAAGAACTAAATTAGCCAAATGGTTGACTTTAATTATTCTTTTTGATCACCTATTTGTTGCTTCGTCCACCATCTTCAATGGACTTCTGATTTCTTTCTTTTTGTATTTATTTGTTAAATTGGCGGCTCCTAGATACCTTAACTTTGAAATAACAGCAGAAATCTTTGTTTTATAGGGAGTTGTTGCTGGTCTGCTAGTTCAGAATGCGCTAAAATTTTTACTGAAGTTTGGAGAAGTATCTCCATATCTGGTACATTACTCTGAACGCCTTGTTATTTGTATTTATCAGTTTGAACGCTAGCATTGCAAGCATTGTTTGTTTGTCATACAACGTTATGTACTATTACACTTCTGTAATTTCAAAAAAAAAATGGTGGTTTTCCTTCACGGATGCAGAAATTTAATGTTGATTACCTGGACTTTTAGATTTAACCCATTTATAATTTGACTGTTGATAAAGAGGTTTTTTCTATATTATTTGCAGGGGTATAACTCTCTGAAAGACTTTTTTCCAACTATGGAGATGAGGCCAAATCCACAATGTTCAAACTCAGCTTGTCTTGAGCGGCAGGTTTTAACTTTTTCACTTGTGCTAAATCAGCTTCATTTTGACAGTTTGATGGATCCCGTTTCTCTTGAATCATAATGTGTTGCCATCGCTGCATGCAGAAGGAGTATCTTTTGGCCAAACCTGTTAGAGATGCATTGGCCAAAGCAAAGAATGAAGCTGAAGCATCACGAGAAAATGAATCTCCACTTCATATGGAGAATGAGTGGAATATAAGGTAATTTTGCTCGGCCAAGAATGAAAATTAAATATTGTTGTCGTATAGATGGTTTCTTTAGGGAAATGGAGAGTTTTCTTTAGTACGTAGCATCATGGTATTTTATATTGATATTATATTATTTTATTTCAGTTTTATTTTATATTGATATTAGCAAACTTCGAACACCCTCAAGGTAGTTCGGGTTGTCCACATAATCTTAAATGAAAAAGTTAAATGGGTTTAAACCCGTGAAGGTTTTTACTTTCAAATCCCTTTAATTAGAAGGGTTTAAATGGGTAGACCCATTGATTCTAAAGCCTTCGAGAAATCTGAAAAGAGTTGCTTTAGGCCATGCCCAACCGAAACTCATTTTTCATTTCAAAATGCAGTAATACTCCAAAATGTAGTAACTCGTCTCCAACCGAACTCCATTTTTTAACAACAAAAAAAGAATATTCTGTGTATTTTTTTCTCCTACTTTATTTTATATTTAATTTTAATCATATATTTATATTTATCAATTTTTTGAATTATACCTACTTATAATTTTTTTTTTTAAAATATACATTTTAATGATTTTTTCATCCGAGGAAGATGTTGATGAAAAACTATTATGCATATTGTGATGTTAAGATCATTTGAATATTTAGTATTTGTAAGATAAATGCATTGATCAGTCACATCCGGTCAATGTTTCTTGAGAAGTGTGAGAATCCTATAGGACAAAGTGCATTGAGTGATCTCATCTGGTCAAGGTTGCTTGAGAAGTGTGAGAATCTTATAGGGCAAAGTACAGTGAGTGGTCATATCGGGTCAAGGTTGCTTGAGAAGTGTGAGAATTTTATAGAACAAAGTGCAGTGAGTGGACACATTGGGTCAAAGCTGCTTGAGAAGTGTGAGAATCTTATAGGACAAAGTGTAGTGAGTGGTTACATCCGGTTAATGTTGCTTGAGAAATGTGAGTTCCTATAGGACAAAGTACCGTAAGTGATCACATCCGGTGTGATATGAAATTATGAAGTAAGAAGGTTATCAATAATGTCAACATAATTGTTATATAAGTAGGGGTAAGGAATATATCATTTAACTGATCTTCTACAATCATTAAACCTAAAAAAAAAAAAAGTCTATCCAATCTTCTGCATATTCTTGGGAGCCTCTTATGCCAAATTTACATGATAAATTCTCAAGACGCAATCACGGGTATATATCAGTCATCAGATCACTTTTGGACATGTGTAGAAGCCTACAATAATTCCAAAAGCCAAAGTTGAAAGATCTGTTCAATTCCGTATTCATATTATTGAGAAAACAGCAAGGAAGATGCACATATGCATTCTACATGTTGAAACTAAACAACTTAGTGGTGCTTTAAATAAAGATATTGTAAGTATTAATGTCTATTTTAAGCATATATATTATTCATTTCACAATTTTTTTAATTATAATTGTTTATATCGATTTACAGTTAGATCAAACTAAACTGTTGTTTGCGCAAGATGAGAAGTTCAAATCTAGTTGAAAGTTTGATCATGTGTGGAACATTATTAAAAATTTTGAAATTTTTCAAGATGGTCAATATAGTGCTTGACAGGAATCTCATATGTCGAGCTTTGGGTATGCCTAATCGGATTCAGAAAATCTAACCACTGAATTTGTTAAACAGCAATCTCCTAGACTCTCTGCGTTTTTTCTAAATTTAGATAATGAATAATATAATATTTGTGGCTCTCAATCTGAACGACCTATTGGGTGAAGAAAGCCAAACTAAAAATAAAAATTGACGAAGAGATGTCAACCTTTATTAATACTTTGGAAGATGAAAATAAACAACTTATTGAGTAATTAAAAAAAAGTGCGTAGAGACAACATCATTTGGAGCTTCAAATTAAGAACTATACTTTGAAAAAACTCAAAGAAGAAAATAAAATATTGTTTTAAGACTTAAGTGTCATACAAAATCCTGATGTTCATGCATTTTTCTAAGCTGAACAAACACAAATTTTATAAAAGTGTTTCGAACGACAACAAGATCAACAATACTCCTTCAAACTAATTTGGATAATATCTCAATGATTTTAGAGGACTCGATACCAATATTCTAGATTATTTAATTGTCACTATTAATTATTTATTTATTTTTAGTTCAAACTTGTTCTGTATTTTGATTTTATTTTTTATTTTGTTGAGGTATTGTATTACTCGATATTCTTCAAATTTATATGAGTATTTTATCTTAATTTATATAATAATGTTGTATCTTAAATAAATTATTTATGTAAAAAATATTTTAAATTCTAAAAAATAATGTGTTTATAAATTCTTAATTTGAATAATTAATAATAATACATTTAAAAAACTAAATTTAATAACCTAATTTTTGGATTAAAGAAAAAATAGCTTGTGTGAATAGTGCGACACTAATATTGGCGCCGTACTGCTCACCCCTGAAAATTAGCAGGATTTCTAGCGTTCGGTTGAATCATTCGGTGGACGACATACTGTTGTTTAACGTTCGGTTACTGATGGTCTTAGGCCAACTTTACTACGTAATTGAGATTTCTCTTGCTGTATTGGCTTTGCTGTTAGTATTTTCATCATCCAAAAATGATTTCATCATCCAATGGCACATCTAGAAAATGGATTTCTGTTGGAGACGAGTTACTGTATTTTGGAGTATTACAACATTTCGGAGTTAGCTGTAGATGGCCTTAAAAGGTCTTTATTAGAATCATCAATATAATTACTTGATTCTTTTCTTTGTTAACCGTGGTTGTATCAATATCCTCCCAATCTTCATCAACATCTTTAATCTTAACTATCTTTATCTTCCCTAATCAATAGAATTCAATAAGAATATTATTTAACATAATAATTATATTGATGATTCTAATTTTTATTAGATAAAATTTTATTCTAAATATTTTTGTTAATTTCTTATTGACTTATTTGGTCTTGTTTGTTCCTCCATCAAAGAAGTCAAATTTAGATATTCTTCTTGTAATAGTGCTGATGTGACTTTATTTTCATCATCCAAAAATGATTTCATCATCCAATGGCACATCTAGAAAATGGATTTCTGTTGGAGACGAGTTACTGTATTTTGGAGTATTACAACATTTCGGAGTTAGCTGTAGATGGCCTTAAAAGGTCTTTATTAGAATCATCAATATAATTACTTGATTCTTTTCTTTGTTAACCGTGGTTGTATCAATATCCTCCCAATCTTCATCAACATCTTTAATCTTAACTATCTTTATCTTCCCTAATCAATAGAATTCAATAAGAATATTATTTAACATAATAATTATATTGATGATTCTAATTTTTATTAGATAAAATTTTATTCTAAATATTTTTGTTAATTTCTTATTGACTTATTTGGTCTTGTTTGTTCCTCCATCAAAGAAGTCAAATTTAGATATTCTTCTTGTAATAGTGCTGATGTGACTTTATTTTCATCATCCAAAAATGATTTCATCATCCAATGGCACATCTAGAAAATGGATTTCTGTTGGAGACGAGTTACTGTATTTTGGAGTATTACAACATTTCGGAGTTAGCTGTAGATGGCCTTAAAAGGTCTTTATTAGAATCATCAATATAATTACTTGATTCTTTTCTTTGTTAACCGTGGTTGTATCAATATCCTCCCAATCTTCATCAACATCTTTAATCTTAACTATCTTTATCTTCCCTAATCAATAGAATTCAATAAGAATATTATTTAACATAATAATTATATTGATGATTCTAATTTTTATTAGATAAAATTTTATTCTAAATATTTTTGTTAATTTCTTATTGACTTATTTGGTCTTGTTTGTTCCTCCATCAAAGAAGTCAAATTTAGATATTCTTCTTGTAATAGTGCTGATGTGACTTTATTTTCATCATCCAAAAATGATTTCATCATCCAATGGCACATCTAGAAAATGGATTTCTGTTGGAGACGAGTTACTGTATTTTGGAGTATTACAACATTTCGGAGTTAGCTGTAGATGGCCTTAAAAGGTCTTTATTAGAATCATCAATATAATTACTTGATTCTTTTCTTTGTTAACCGTGGTTGTATCAATATCCTCCCAATCTTCATCAACATCTTTAATCTTAACTATCTTTATCTTCCCTAATCAATAGAATTCAATAAGAATATTATTTAACATAATAATTATATTGATGATTCTAATTTTTATTAGATAAAATTTTATTCTAAATATTTTTGTTAATTTCTTATTGACTTATTTGGTCTTGTTTGTTCCTCCATCAAAGAAGTCAAATTTAGATATTCTTCTTGTAATAGTGCTGATGTGACTTTATTTTCATCATCCAAAAATGATTTCATCATCCAATGGCACATCTAGAAAATGGATTTCTGTTGGAGACGAGTTACTGTATTTTGGAGTATTACAACATTTCGGAGTTAGCTGTAGATGGCCTTAAAAGGTCTTTATTAGAATCATCAATATAATTACTTGATTCTTTTCTTTGTTAACCGTGGTTGTATCAATATCCTCCCAATCTTCATCAACATCTTTAATCTTAACTATCTTTATCTTCCCTAATCAATAGAATTCAATAAGAATATTATTTAACATAATAATTATATTGATGATTCTAATTTTTATTAGATAAAATTTTATTCTAAATATTTTTGTTAATTTCTTATTGACTTATTTGGTCTTGTTTGTTCCTCCATCAAAGAAGTCAAATTTAGATATTCTTCTTGTAATAGTGCTGATGTGACTTTATTTTCATCATCCAAAAATGATTTCATCATCCAATGGCACATCTAGAAAATGGATTTCTGTTGGAGACGAGTTACTGTATTTTGGAGTATTACAACATTTCGGAGTTAGCTGTAGATGGCCTTAAAAGGTCTTTATTAGAATCATCAATATAATTACTTGATTCTTTTCTTTGTTAACCGTGGTTGTATCAATATCCTCCCAATCTTCATCAACATCTTTAATCTTAACTATCTTTATCTTCCCTAATCAATAGAATTCAATAAGAAT